ACCTAGTTTAAGGGCGTCCCCTGCGTAATCACCATTTTAGGTCAAGTCGGAATGTAAATTTTTTTGGGTTGATCCACCGCAACCTTTCCTGCCTGGCAGGAAACGCCTAGCTAACTTTCTGGTGAATTTACGAGTAAAACCTGGGCACTGTAATTCCAGTTGTTACTATTGGTATGATTATGAGCAGTAAATTGTGTTCGAATCGTCATCCATTAAATAATACTGTTTCTCTGAGTGATATATCCAACAAACGGACTAATGTCGAATGACCTTCTGGTTATTATTTTTATTTATTTTATTTTTGATTACAGCTTGATTCCACACTGCATTTTTGGTACAAGTATGGAATTTTCAGCGTGGATATCGGTAGCCCAAATTTCGCAGGCCGATCATAGATATCACGTGTGCATCGGCGTGTGGTCGAACCCCGGGGGCCATGTGCATGGTCGGCGAGAGTCCTAACCACTGTGCCACCGACGCCTGCCTGTTCATCAACATTACAATTTCGACCACAGATTGCCACTGTACTGCAACCTCTTTATCATATGAGTGACTGCTTTTATCTTTACACTGTTGTTCAACTTACCTACAGAAACAATCATTCCACTCCATATGCTTCTTCGAATCATTGACACTACCACGTCATAATAGCAGCTATCGACTACTGTTTTCTTTGTAAATGTCTGATGTGAGAACAACAATTTGGACGTGTCCAGCAAACAGGTGGCAAAAGGTAAATGATAAGTGGAGTCATCTCCGAAAAATGGTGCCATAATTAGCTCTCCGGATAGACGACTGTAACACTGGAAGGGAGAGGGGGGTGGGGTGAAATTTTAATGAATAATTTAACTGAACTACAACCAGGGTCAACTTACTAAGCATCTAATGCCTCCCTGAATAGGATATAAACACCGGACTTCTGTCTCTAACTGAGGTTACAAAAGTTATTTTTAACCTAAAGCGAGGTAAATTAGCTGGACATGATCGGATGACTCGAGAGGTATTCAACGGAGTTGAGACAGTGTAGTGTCTGCGTTAACTGAGTAACCAGACAGCGTCTGGGAATCAAAGGAAGTCCCGTCAGGTTGGTGTAAGTCACTGATCAATTCGACATACAAGAAGGGAGACAACTCTTCCTGTGATAATCACAGAGGGATTAGCTTGACTGATATCGTATCTAAAGTCTTAGACTCAATAATAATGCGTAGACTAAGTGGTGCTCAAGAGGCACAAACACGAGAGAACCAGGTAGGCTTTAGGCCAGGAAGAGGATGTATTGATCGTATCCTCACCCTTCGACAGATTCTAGAACATAGGTATACTAAACGACGTACAACAGTAGTCAGATTCCTTGAGCTGAAAGCGTCATTTGGTTTTGTCGACCGAGAGGTACTATGGCAATGTTTGGCTGTGGAGGGAATGACGAGAAAATACATCTCACTGATCAAGCCACTCTACTGGAACTCATGCAGTCAGCGAGGTGAGAGCCTAGGAAGAGTTGTCATTCGAAGTGGTGTCCGTCACTGATGCCCAATGTCTCCATTTCTATTTAATTTCACCACTTACCACTAACTGACTTCAGTGACTCATGGATTGACTTGTTAACATCAGGGGATAATAATCTTGTTGATTCCGAATATGCAGATGGTATACTCCTTATAGGTGAATACTCTGACAAGATGTTGATCGCTGACGAAATCTCAGCACAACGGATACAGAAGGCTCGGTCCTCATATGCCAGCTTACATCGTCTCTGGCATAGATGTGATACTCGGCCGGCTGTCGACCAAAGGGGCTGGGTACTGCCCAGCAGTCAGTTTACTTTGTCATCCTTCATGGCTGTGAGACATAGCCACTGAAAGTGGAAGACATCAAAAGCCTGACTGGCTGGCTGTCCTGCATCATAGGTGCATGCGTTCTATCTTCCCTGTTGGATGTTGGTATGTTGAGGTTGGGCATTGATCGAGTCCTAGGTAAGCAGGGGAAATCAATCGACGAGTTTGTGCAGTTGCACCGATTGAGATGATTAGGAGATGTGTAATGCGTGCATGCATAGCCATCGTCTTCCTCGACGGGTAGTGTAAGTTGACAAAGGATGGATCAAGTTGGAAAAGACCTAGTGGTGGTTTATGACCCTCTAAAGGATGGTTGGAAAAATTGGTTACCCTCAGAGATTTATCAACAAATATGCAAAATGTGAAGGCTCAAACGTCAAACAAATCACAGTGGAGAAAATGTCTGTCTTCGTTCAACTCGATTTTAAGGATAGAAATGTTGCAGATTTAGTGAACGGGAGATTGAGTACCTCACTAGCCAAGGCGTATCCTGCAGCTAAGTTGGCTCCTGTCTATCAAACAACGTGCTCTTTGATGCAATCAAAAGTCGACAGACACCCTTCTCATGACAACTCCAACTGTGCATACAATTAAACTTGTATCTGTGGGTCCAGTTACATTGGAAGAACAGAAAGTAGGGCCCGCCTCCTGTTTTCTGAAAATCTACCAAAACGCCTACGTCTCAAGAGAACAAATGCTTACAATAGTGCCACTACCAGACTTCCCCTTGATACAGGTCATGAGGTGGAAACCGCAAATTTCTTTGTGTCTGTCTGTTTTCGACATAGAACTTTGCACAAATGTGCGGAAGTTCAAGTCGCCACACTCCGTGTAGCATGCGAAGCAAGGGAAGAAAGTACAAGAAAAGCATAATAGAAACAGTGAGCAGAGGTGTGAGACAAAGGAGGAGTAATAAAGAAAAACAAAACAGTTTCATTGGAGATCATAAGTCACAAGGAGTGGATGCATCTGCGCCAGCCACTGAGAACGATTTTGAGCCATGTCACCAATTGTTTCCAACCATAGATTTTTACCGTCCCGAGGACCCCAGCCTGGAAGTCTACACCTTCCTACGTGGCTTAGACCAACTGTTGTGGATTTCATTGACTGGTTCCATGTTTTGGTTTGACCGCCGCTAGCTCTTTTCCAGCCTGACCCTATATCCGCTAACATTGCTCGTCGAGGGAGGCGGTGACTTGGCATACGTAACACATGTCCTAACCATCTCAGTCTTTGTAGCTTCACGACTTCGTCGATTGATTTCCCCTGTTTACCTAGAACTCTACGCCTAACCTCAATGTTGCTCACCTTATTTTGCCACTTTACACGGGAAATAGAGCGCAGGCACCTATGATCAAAGACAGCTAGTCTTTTCATGTCTTCCACTCTCAGTGGCCAGGTCTCACTAGCAGCCATAAAGGAGGACGGAGCGGACTGATGAGCAGTACACCCGCCCTTTGGTCGATAGTCGAACATCTCGTCTACGCCAGAGTCGGTGTAAACTGGCAAATGCGAAACGAGCCCCTTGTATTCGTGCTGAGATTTCGTCAGAGATCAGCCCGTTGGGGCTGATGGTACTTCCCAAATAAGTGAAGCGGTCAACGTGCTCTACCACTTCACTTCCTATTTTTAAACTAGGCGTCGATGTAGTCCAGTCCTGTAACATCATCTTGCATTTGGCGGGAGCGAATCGCATGCCAAACATTCGTAGGTTGCGGCTCAAGGTGTTTAGAAGACTCTGCATTTTGTCAGCGTCTTCGCTTAGAAGGACTATATCGTCTGCATATTCCAAGTCAACGAGATTATTCCCCGGTAGCAAGTCAATCCCTGAGTCGCTGAAGTCACTTAGGGTTAAGTCCATTAACACATCTATGGTGAAGTTGAATAGAAAAGGGGATAATGGGCATCCTTGGCGGACACCACTGGTCGTCATCAGTTCAGATTATTATTATTATTGTTATCAAGCTCAATTCTCTCCATGTTTGCCGAAGCAATCTCTATCCAACGCCTGAAGCCCAATTTATGTGTTGAGAAAGAAGCAATTATCAGTCTTTCCTTGCCCTGTCCTTACTGTCCTTTTCATTTGATCACGTTATCCTTGGCTTTAACCCCACCCTCCCTTGAAGTAATGTAATTTCGTATGTCTTTTCTTTCGGTGATTTGAGCATAGCTCAGTACATTATTGCGCAATTTATTAGTTACTCGTCATCTTCACTATGCAACTCCTTCACCATTGTGTGCATACATTTACTTTGTTTAAACTTGAACCGCTTGTTCACTAATCCTGGAATCCCCTGTCAACTGACATCATGTAAAATTTGCATGTTAAAACCTGCATATGAACTGAATAAATAATTTACTCAGGCTGTAAGCAAATGATGAGACGCTGTCTAAATAAATGATGATAGTATATTATTCTGCACGAACTGTTGTTCTCGCTTCATTCAAATTCATAAATAAAGGGGGATAAATGTGTGAAGTTATCCTACATAGTAATTTTATATGATCACTACAACTCATGATATGAGCGTTACACGATTCTATCGCGAAGTAAATTTTATTTGTTTTACGTCTTCAGGTTCTTGTTTCTCTTTTTACTTGAATATCAGAGTTACATTAGCTTTTCTTCTACCTTTTTCATCTATTGTATAGTAAAATGTCCATTTTACTTTTTATACACCTACTGAAGTCTTTAGATCAACTGAATTGTTCACCCAAGAATATACAAAACATCTAAATGTATTGTTGTTGTTGTTTTTTTCAAATAATCAAATTCGCATTAGGCTGGCCTGATTGTATATCTTTATCACATGACAATAAGATTCGATTTTAAGTGAGTGTGTCAACACACCGACATTAGTTTTTTTTATTTACTGAAATGAGATCGGTGTACATCTACGCATTTCATATAGAAAGCAGCATACGCTGTTGGTTCGTTTTTATCTGTTTATAAACAGTCTGGAAAGTTGTAGGTTTTTGTTTTGTTTTGTTTGTTATACTCTGCTAATTAATTAAATTGTTTGGTTGTTTGTCTGTTTACTTATTATGGATGGAATACTTTAGGTATACTTCATTACAAATGTACATACAATCAAGATAATATTGTTAAATAGTTGGTGGTTGATATTTCTTTTACTAATGTGAATATCTTTTGGTTTCTTTTAGGCTGTTGCTGTAGTCTTCTTGCTTGCTTATTGGTTTTCGCCTACTATTTTGATTGAACCAATTGTCTACGGTTGGTCGGCTGCTGCAATTTTTAAATATACACTCTTCTGTAAGTAATTAAACCAACTCACAATTATTGAATTAAATTAATATACTTGAAGCTATTCAAATACAACATTCTGACTAAAATGATACTTGAAAACCTTAACAAGACACTGTTTACTCGTAAATATTTACGGTAGTGTATTAGCTTATGTAAGATGAAGTTTGCTTCTAGTTGTATACTGTCTGTCCACACTCAAATGTGTACATTTCAAAAGTTGTAGCCTAGGGATAGACTTACCTGAACAGTTGAAGCATTGACGTCAGATCCAATTCTAGATTGTTGATTATCATTATTATTATTATTTTTCCATTGGGTTGCAAGTGGAATGTAGGGCTTCAACAACACATTCCCACTTCGTTCTATTTTCCGCTGTCCTCTTCATCTGGGTCCACGATTTCTCATAATCTCTCATCTCCTCCATGTCAATTTCGATGACCCACTCGTCAAAGCTTTTCAAAGTCCTTGCAGTGGATCTCATTTGTCATCTGCGTAGACACCGATTGTTTACCAGATGGTCTATGGTCTACAAAGTTTGCCGAAAGCGACACGAGTGCATTTGCTTTGTATAGCAGAGGCTTTAGCAATACATAACATAAAGCCAGAACCTTGTGTACAAAAACAATTTGTACGATCTCTTTCGTTATCATGGTCTTGATTTTATTATGTAATTCAGATAAGAAACTTTGTTATCCTTCTTTATTCCATGTTCCATTTTTTAAACATTTTATCTAGTCTACTATTTTGACAACGTTTCATTCACCTCATTTCTCCGTCATATCGTATTCACATATTCATATTTCCGAATGTACTTGATTTTCCGACCATTTATTTTACACGTGTGTATTGAAATTTAGGTTGACCTCTATTTATTTAGTTATTCATTCATATTTTCTATAGTTGGTTTGTAAGGATTAGTTTTGTTTTCACGAGCTGATCACGGGTTGATATCAGTTAGAGAACCATTGAAAACCAGGGAGTACTGGACAGCTGTTTCATCCTAGTTTGAGAATCATCGGAGGTATGCACTCACTGGGGTTCGTACCCAGGACCTTCCGGTTACAAGGTAAGCTCGTATACCATTCAACCACTGAGACCCGACTTAATGGTTCATGAATTCTAACTTCCACCAATTCCAGATTTAACGCGACCCCAACTAATGTCGTCAGTGGAACATCCATCTTCACACGTGATTGGATGGACTTCACTGGTCACGACTTCTCACTAGAGCTCCAGGAAACTCCATCCTGTAGCAAGTCGCTAGCGAGCATCAGATTAATTTTCTATGGCTATGAAGATGAAATCATCGAAAAGAGGATTCTCGTGACTGAATTCTTATTTTTTATGTCCCAATGGGGATTAATAATGTATTTACATTACTTTAACATTTAAAAGAGACGCAAAAACTGAATTGCCGGCATCGAAGCTTCGAGAAGCAATACCTAAAACATTCTTTGATGCAACATTGTGTTTAAAATTCACCACTCGTTGTATAATAATTCCAACGCAGGTGAAGGATAAGCTACCGAGTCTGGCCACATCATTGTGCACTTATAAATTTAACTGTTCATGTGGAGACAGTAACATGGATAGAACGACTTGATAAACCCAACGTCACCTTCTGATACATTGTCCAACGTGGTTAAGTAGAGGAATCGTAAAGTCAGTCAGCAGTTCCATACTGGCACACATAAAGAATAAGGAGCACAAGACTGACAGAAATTCATCAGTTACAATCGTACACAAGATGCCATCTCACAACTCCCTAGGTCGGTACGTCTTCAGTGGTTAAGCATAGTTGAGGTAGTTGCTATGAAGTTTTTTCAACCCAATCTCTGTGTTTAGAAAAAGTTTGTTCAATCTCTCGCTTTGGCCTTCGCTCCCAACCTAAAATAGTTATCTCTCCCGGCGACACTGGGTAACCGTAAATATTATCTCATAATTTTAATTTTATTTGTAATGTTAACTGTATTACCAATATCATGCTGTGCTGTAGTTGTACATTTTAATCTCGGTTTCACAATTTATTACTGTTATTATTATATTATCTAGTCGCTATTTGACAATAGTTATTTTCCCCTATACCCCTATTAGTATGCTCATTCTACCCATACATTCACCACTGCTTAGATTATATAAACACTTGAATGAATTTATCCTTGTTGTTATTATTGCTATGATGATCACCTCTATTGCTATCCGTTAATTCATACCCCTGAACTCTGATCCTATATATTTTATTAACCACATTAATTCAAATGCCTATGACTAATATTTCATTATGTCAGTGTAAAGCCTGATTACAATTTACCGAAATTGCGTGGTTGCTGAAATACTGTTCTTTAATTATGATCATGCGAATGTTTAAGTTGTCTGTTCTATATTGAAGAGATAAGTGACTTGTTCAACTAGTGCAGCTGTTGCATTAGTTGTGTTTTCTCTGAGCTGGTTGAGTTAATTGCGAAGCTTTCGTTGTAATTCTAGACAGCGCAGATTTTAGAATAGATTGGACTTATTTAAATTCTCCACGAATGATGTAATCGTATCTCCTGGCAACCACTGTCATAACTGGTTGTTAATTTACGTCTCTGTTAATCATTTTTATTGACTTGGAATTCGAACTTTCTTGTCATGTGATCTACTTTTTATTAGCTGGTATATTTTGTTTAAAGTCATATGTTTGTTAATTGCTAATTCACTTGAGTACTTCTGGGAATTCTCTGGCACTTTTTGTGTTTCCTCTGTTTAAAATTTCTACATTATCCTCATCAAATTGGTATGCATAGAGTATTTTTAAGATTTGAAACATACTGTGGCACTCCGGCGTTGAAGAGAATAGAGGAAAAGAGCCTACTAACCGTCTTCAAAAAGAATGGATATCCTCACAGTTTCATCAAAAAGTGTTTAAACTCGAGTCATATCACCAACAACAAGCCATTATCAAAGACCACAAGAAAATTCATTCTGCCATATATAAAAAATATCTCTGAAATAACAGCTATAATATTAGGACAAATTGAAGTAGATATAGCACACAAGCCAGCCAGCAAAATCACTTCATGCAATATTGTGTAAACCAATATTTATCCGATAGAAAAAGAGAAGCCAACGAAATAAATGATGGTACCATTTTATTTTGAAAAAGCTGTTGTTCTTGCTTTATTTAAATTCATTAAGGGGAATACATGTATGAAAAATTGAATCACATGACAAGAAAGTTCGAATTCCAAGTCAATAAAAATGATCATGACAGTGGTTGCCAGGAGATACAATTACATTACTCAAAGAGAATTCATATGAATTCATTTTGTGTTAAAACCTGCTCTGTCTAGAAGGACGACAAAAGCCTCGCAATTAGATCAATCAGTTCAGGGAAACCACTAATAATTCAATATTATCCACTTGAGCTGCAAATCTTGTCTATTAGTGCAACTGTTATTTGATATTTCACTTTCATATGACTGTTGCTCATTTGTGAGTGATTTATTAGCATATTGTGTCAGTTGTTAGCTTTTTCGCATGACTACTCTATCACGCAGGCTTTTATTTAACAATACAGCAAATTGTTAATTTTTTTTTTCAATATAAGTTCACTGCACTATTCTGATCGTTAGACTTTACAATAAACAGATGATTAGATGATAATCCAGTGGCCAGCGCATTTGTAAAAAATTAGTATAGAATAATCAAATGCTGGTGTTTCATTGAATAAGCATTGAATATCTCTATGAATTGTTCTGTTTTTTTTTCTTCCTTTAAATCCATACAGTTTCACTTTATTTTGTTCATATTCCTGTCACAATATGGAACATTGTAAAAACATGACCGCAGAAACAACCATGGTATCGTGGTCTTGGATTGACTGGAGTCTTAAAACCACTCTTTCCTGTAGCAGTTCTTCTTTTAAGTTCATCCCTATGGGCTAGTTATTCACCGTCAAATCTTCTCGATAAACATACACGTGTATTTTTGTTTTGCTGGGGAACGATTGCTTCAAATGTGATAGTAAGTTTATTTTTCGACTTTTAATTATGAACTCTTTTTTCTTGATATGGACAATTTTCTTATTCACATGTTGAATACTTGTTCTGACACGGAGCTTGGTGTGTATCCCATAGATCACTAATTCTTGTAGTAACTTCAATGAGTTCAAGTGACTAGTAACTACTTGAGCATTGTTTCCGAAGCTAGTTGTCTTGTTGAATTTTATTTCATGTGTGTTTGGTTTCCATATCTATGATATCGCGTTTGTATCTACATCAAAATGATATCAGCTTATTTTTTCACGGACTGGCTGTTATGTGAGGTATTTAGATGTTGTGAGGTTAGATGCGGCAACCATCTTCCTCCAACCGTCATGGATTTGTGATGCAATCGAACTTAATAAAAATCGGTCAATAGACGAAATATATATATATGTATATATGCAGTTTTCTTTTAACCTTCATCAAACCCATGCAAATAAGGTCATCAGTGTTGTTCACCTAGTTCGATAATCTACTCAATCAAATATTGAATTTTAGTCACTACAATTTATACGGAACATAATCACATGCATATATATATATATATATATATTCCTTTAATATCAATTTAAACTAACCGCAAATTCAACGCCTTAAAATACTGTTGTTTCCGCTCACTGATATCTTGTTAATAATAAAGCAGACCTACAGTTGTAAATAACATGTTTATCTTGAGTGGTAATAATCATAATGATGTGAGTTTTGTAGGGTAACATACTGTGAGTGCAATAGTGATTTTTCAACTCTCATTATTACTGCTCTGATGTCACCTTTAATCATTGTAATATAATGCGTAAATAGGGCGGTATACTCTGTGTGTTATGAGTATTATATGAAACAAGTCAATTTTTCATGTTGATACAAAGTTTATTGCTTTTAATTATTATTCCTCTTTCGCAGAGTCCTAGTTTTAAAAACTGTCTATATACATAGTCTACTGAACGTAATTGTAGCTTGATAATGTTATGTTCACTCTTGTTTTAGATGTGTTTGGTTTTAATATCGTCAAATGGATGAATTGAATCATGCCACAAGTGATAAAATTGATCACATCTGTCTCCGTAAATAGTATTTTAAACAGATTACACAACGCACAATTGGTATAGGCAAACGACCACATGACCACTCATTGCTATGACGCCAATGGTAAAAAAAATGTCTAATCAATGTTACCAAAATTAGATTTTTACTTCCTTCCGGTAGCCTCCTAGGATCCTCATGACGTAACTAGGAGGAGTGAACTGTTGTGGTGAATAATATCCTAAAATTATTAGCTCATAACTCTCATTATTCAATACTGAGTGTTGACCTTCACTAGTTTAGCTGAAGCGGCATCGTCATTTCGGTACACTGGCGTGTTAAGTTCACTTCCTTGTGTATTATTCACAGTTAGCTAAGTAGATATGACTGCCGTATGCTGCTAATTCCGTAATGTATTACGTGCTACAGACGGTCAAATTTTTCTTCTAATTTAGCTTTCTAACTGTTTTTTTTGTGGTCTATATGGTACACATGCATTGGGGATCAAAGAATACATACACTGATTACCATAAAACTATGTCTTGCGTACTCCTGAACTCTTTTCGTCTCCCAGAAATTCTATGCAAATTGGCTGTCGAAGTTTGTTTTTGAATAATTTGTATGTCCATCAGTCATATGAGATAATGCTAATTTAAATGATTGTGACACAAACATTTTAAAGCTGTGGTTCACTAAGTCAATCATCTAAGTACTTAAATGTCGCGCACTTGGATATGGCAACCGGTTTCCCCTTTAACTGTCATAGATTACAAAAAGTTGACATCAAGAAAATATTATACTCATGGTTGTTTGGATTACTTTTATATATCTACCAAAATTTGTACCAGTGCTGTTCTTGGAAAGAATATACTTATCGCTACTGCTTTCGTGATTGATTTCCATATTTTCTCTATTTCTTACTGTCTTCTCTTTCATCGTCTTTTTTTCCAGTGTCATCTAATCGTTGCACAATTATGCCATGTTCCAGCTCCAATTCATAATAAAGAAGTTCATCTATATTCGATGATTACCTCTGTTGTGTGCTTTGGTTTTCCACTGAGTAAAAACTCACCCACTGAATACATCTCTCTTTACATGCTAACAGCTTTTGTTACTTTGGATCATATTTACTATGCTTATCAAGTGGTAAGTACTATCATGATTTTTTCTATGAACAGTTTTTGTGCGCGAGCAGAAATATTAGTTTTATAGCATATTTGAACTAAGAAGTCTAAATATGAATGGAGTAAATTGCCAAAATGTTCGAGACATCATTTTCTTCTTATTGTCATTAAAAACACCAGAGTATTTTTCTTAAATTATACGAGAAGTTTGTATTTCAGACAGGTTTACATTGCATTTATCCCTTTCACAGTGGTTAAATTACGAAGCCTTCACTGTCTTTCTATAAAATATTATTAGAGTCAATATTAAAACGGAGTTGGTATTGAAGTTGAACTTGGACACTGCAAAAGACTATTTTCCAATCCTCATATCAGCTACTGATCAACGTTTCCTACGCAGTCTAGTTTTCCTCACCTAGTTTAAAAACCGGACTGAAAAAAGAACGAAGGTTAGGCGTGATGCCAGTGACCCTACCCTTGAAAATCAATCTAATCGTTACAGAAACTTCAAAGTACTGAAAAAGAATCAAAAATCGACCTATGCTTAGCTAGAATCATAGAGAGAGAGAGAGAATGACGTGGGATGACAAAAGCCTTAGGGGGGCTAATCAAGTGATGTGTCTTCTTTCAATGAAAGATAAAGCAGACATGCGAGCATTTGATGTCCTTTTAATGTTCAAAATTAGAAAGGCTGTTTAGATTGTATAAGATATGAGAAAATGCAGCACAGTAGCGTTAGGAATCTGTAATAACAGGCAGAATGCAAGCAGACTCTCAAAATCGTCAACTGGAGAGTCGTCGTTTTGATGACTACCATGAACACACTGAAGGAGTGGCTATCATGTGTCACCAGCAGCATTCCAAACTCTTATGCAGTGAAAACCAGTCTCCTCAGAATAATAACGGCAATATTCAACCTAAAATAGGGAAAGTTACAACTATTTAACGCTACATGCCTGCAGACAGCGCATACCAAGACAGGAAAGAAATCTTCTACAGACAACTACAAACAAGACTCCAAAATCCTAATAGGTGATTTGAATGAAAGCCAAACCAGGAGCAGACAACATAGGAGGAGAACCCACTGCGCGTCAGAAGCCTCTCGGTGAAATGAGTTAGGACATAGAATTGTTGACAGACCTTCGTCCTTTCAGTGATTTCGGTGATTGAAGAGGGCATTTACGAACACACAGAAAAACACAAGGCGACAATGGATACACGATTTAGATAGTCTTCACCTTAATCTGAATAAAGTGGAGACTCACTGTACTGCATACAAAATAGAGAAAAGGTACAAATATGGGCTTAGACGAATATTGTAGTACAAGGGACCTTCAAGGTCGAGTTGTAAACATCCAGTGAAGCTAGTAGTAGACCACAATTTAAGTTCAACACTCAGAAACTGTAGGACAAAACTACGAAGGACACATAAACTGTAGGCACCAGAACGCAATCGGAGACATAATGTAGCATCACCGATGAAATCTGTTTTAAGAAGAAAGAAAAAGCAAGACAATAGATGGCTCCCTACAGGCACGTGGAAGCTAGTATAGGAAAGTAAAACAGGAAATGAAACAGTGTATATGTGGGCGACGAAGCAAGAAGCTGGATTCAATGTATTGCGCAATGAATGAAGAAGTGAAGAGGAATGTTAGGAAGAACAAAGGGGAATTCTACCTTACACTGGAAACTGAATTGCAACAGGCTGCATATATGGGGATCCTCAGTTCACTATACCAGACATCCAGGTCGCTATCTGGGTAGAGATCAACTCAGATGAAATCAGTGAAAGATAGAGGGATGAACATAATTGGGAAGGAGGAGAAACAAAGGAAACGCTGAGCTGAACACTTCTAAACGGACTACCACCTACATTTAGTCCAGAAATACCGAAAATACCCACAAAACGGACAGTGAACATTAATCCTCTAGCAAAATTAACGGTCTTGAATGCCGTGATGTTGCTGTAAACCAATCGGAAAAGTAATAGTACTAGAGGGTATTCCCTTAAAACTGCCCCAGAGAGATCAGTGGAGGTGCTCACGCCACTATCTCAGCAGGTTTGGAAAGAGGGCTGCGTTCTCAAGCTCGTGAAATAGTGCCACCCAAACCTTTTGCAAGAACTAGCACTGAAAAAGATGTCCCCAGCAATGAATTTAGTTATTCGCATTTTTTGACTGAAGATTCCTGTATGCCTGCCTTGTTATAGTGTTTTGGGCTCTAAATCGGCAATTAATAATACGATTCACATTGTAGGATCAGATACAAAGGACCCAAACTAGGCAGTCTACATCTCCCTACTTGGCTCAAACCAACACTGAAAGACTTCATAGATTGATGCCAGATATTAATTTAACCAACCCTAACCCTTTCAATCTAAACCAACGTCGGCAAACATTGGTTGTCGAGGAAGGCCTTGTCTCAGCATGTGCAGCACATCGTATCCATCTCAGTCGATGTAGCTTCAGGACCTGGTCGTCTGGTTTATAGGTATAAGTCAGGAGTAATGTTATTTGTTTGTTGCAAACCAATATATCAGGTGATAAACAAAGTCCCAGAATTTACGCATTCAGTGTGACGACAAAAATTGCCTCCGTGTTTACTCAACAGCGTTTTCATCCTTTATACGTCTGTGTTTGTCTATTGTCATTGTTGGATTCGTGACAAAATACGTGCACAGCATAGTTTCAGTTATTGGCATATTTATTATTCTGTTTATTTATAGGCTGTTGGATAGTGACATTGTAACAAAAATTAGTAATGTTTTAACATTCTAATTGGCTGTAGTAATATTATTTTCACTTTTGTAGGGTTGTATGCATTGTTGTTACACTGAATTTCGATTATAATTTCTTTTTATCTTTTCAAACTGTGTGTAGGTCAACGAGATCGCCTCATGTCTTCACATTAAAGTGTTCAGCATCACGCAATAATTCAATCAGTGATTTCATCAATGATTTTTCATGCATTATAATATTGTCTTATTTATAGTTATGTATGATAAGATTGTTTATATTCCGTTGTAATTAGCTTAAGTTTTATTCTTATTGTTCTAACACCGAACCTCGGTATTGTTCAATAAGCGATTCTCTTTCGTCCTTCGAAGAAACTGATCTCAATATGCATATTTTTTTTAATGGTTTTACTGTCCAGTTGGTTTTCCTATGCCCCTATAATATTTCTTCTCTTATTAACTTTTTATGTGTAATACTGATTATATTTCTAGCTATGAGATATAACGCAATACCTATTAAGATTGGAGGAATCCCTTTGTTTATATTTGACAGTCTACCTTCTTCTATATTTACTGCTGTCTTTTTCGACTATTTATTCTGCATTTTAAAAATGAATTTATCACATTCAAACTTATGTGTCAGATAATTATTCATTTGCATATGGTGTGTTTCTGCCAATAACTATGGTTTCATGCATATGAATAACAGTTCTGAAAACGATTTCTTTTACTTTTCTTAACTTGTATTTTTTATAAAGGTTGAAATTTAATAAATGCCTTTATGAAAAGTATCAAATAAATTGTGTTGATGTTCATTAATCCACAGAAACAAGTGGGTAGCTGTGGTGTTTAGGGTATAAGTGTTACATTTCATCATCATCAGCAGCAGCAATCGTTACACGATAACCTCGTAGATTCGTTAACGTAGTCAGTTTATTGCATAGTGGGCTAGCCAATCTTCAGTCAGTGAGACTCACCTACTTTAGTTTGTGCAACTGAATATTTTTTTTTTTTTTATTTTTCATTACAGCTTGATTATCACCAGCCCTTACAAAATATGCGTGGGTCCCTGGTATCTGAATTCCAGCCAACAGTCGATACAAGAATATTTTCATCGTGACTCAATGGAAATTTGGATAGCTTCTTTAAAGATTATTTTCTCTGTTGATAACTTTTGTTGTGTGAGTTTTAAAGATCAAGATTATGGTAACAGTATCCGTAACTTTGATGAGATAAATATTAACAACTAACAGTGAGATAGATCCACGTTATGCAAGTGAAACTTTCATCAGAAAATAGAGTATAAATTTAGATTCTAATAATATTCGCATTATGCATTCAGTGATTAACATAGTGTTTTTCAATGGAGTTCATCATTACCAAACTACAGGAAAGCTGTTTAAACAGACTATTTTCAGTCGGTGAAACGCCTAATCCATTTAAGCGTGGAGTTAGTGCAGACCTAACTCACAGTCATTGTAGGGTATTTTTTAAATTGCATTATTTTGTCTAATCGGGTCAACCTGTAGGTTCCCTTAACCTACCTACGCAGCCTGTCCCTGAGTGAGTTTGTAGGATTAAATACCACCAGCCTAATTCCTGCTTCATTAGGAATCCTACATTAGGGTCTCAGATGTCCCCTCCTAATATGGTAGAACTGTGGACGCCTTATATTCTCTCTTGTTTATGTTAGTTGTCTCTATCAGTTTCGCCATGATTTATATTTTGCTTTTGACCTCTTTTGATATTCCTGATGAATTTTATAGGATAGTTAGTTATTTGACACCCGCGCTTCTTCTATCTATTTTATTTCATCATTTGAGTTTTTTATGTAGTACTAAGTGCCACTGCTCGGTTTGTTAGACACTTGACTAAGCCTGCCTTCACAGACAGATAACGGATGAGATTAATTGAATTCTGAATATATATTAGCACACGTTGGTATTTTACAAACGCTAATATGCAGTCGTGTATGCGTACTTTGATATGATTATGAGTGGCAAGAATAGATTGTGCTCGAAACGTTGTCATCAGTAAATATTACTGTATAATAAACACTGAGAATTTATCAAAATAAATTTTACTCACACTGGAAGGAGAAATGTCAAACATTATTGAAACTCTCAAGACGAAAACTAACTACCCAAAGAACTCCACTTAACAAAATCAACACCAACCATATTAAATATGGTCGAAAACACATATTCCGAAGAAATGCACCTCAGGTATTGTCATTCCATATACATCAGGAACGTCAGACGATAGATTTCAGAAGAGTACCTTCTCACCAAAAGCACAACATCGGACATTTATCCAGCTTTTTAGTACTGTTGTAAATCGGCACTCGATGCTGCGAAAAGAGGTCTCACTTTCCCATCGGAGTGGTGATAATAGATAAACCACAATCTGTATGAGTGCCAGTTATGGGACTCGATAATTTTGATGATTGATTGACTTTATGATAATTATAACCCAATGATGATGGCCACATTGCTCAGCGTTTCAGATGAACGCTACTCATAAACATCGTAACAAATTTCACCCCAACCATAATCCTATCTTAAGCCTTCACCGACGCTAATCCTGAATCAGGGAGAAACTTGCAGCTAATAGGATAACGAAAAGTAAATCTTGTGTAATGCTGAGCAATCTGATTGACCGGTCCAAGGGCATTTGACTATGGTAAGTACTCTTTACTGCTACTCATCCACCCACCCCCTATTACTTCAAACAAAAACTCGGGGATGTCGTGTCTATCAACTATTCACATAGGAAGATAAGCATGAAAGTAACGTATGAGAAATACACAAACAGAGAAAACAGACTGAAAATGTCGGGTTTAAAAAAAGATTTATTTAGCGTTATTTCATCGAATGCTTCTTTAGGCAAAGGATTTGAACTTATCTCTTTTAAGTTAAGCGTCCAATTACACCCGTTACGATGATTATTCCAATCTTTATAGAGTCAAATAGATAAAAGAAACCAAAATACCACAACATGAACAGAAATCACCAATAGAAAAGACCAAGATAAGCTTTGAACACCAGTACTGTACAGATAACGACGCAGAGACATAATTCGATAATGAAGAAGACATGAAGTACATTAAGTCAGACGTGTTGTGATGAATAGGAGGAAATTAGGTGACCCACTGACCGAAGCTATACGTCAATTTTAAGAACATTGTTTTCGGTAGCTGGATGCAATCATGAAATACATGAGAGAGCAGTCAGTGTGACTTCATCAAAATATATTTAAGTTGAATAATTGGTTTGGTTATATTAAGAATAGAATTCCACGAAGTAGATGAATACGTAATCGTATCACATGTCATTTCAACGAATAGGGAGATAACTCACAACAAACGTAGGAGTCATATGAACTGTTGATTTTATAACAGGTGTCTATTTTAAAAGGATTTAATTGGGCCTTATATGCTAAACAATAAAGACTTGAATAAATGTGAGTGCTCATCACTAAGATATTTCCCAGTTCGCTATTGGATATTTTATTCAATCTGACCATGTAATCTGAGTTGTACTCATTAGAAAATTATAAGTAGGTTAGCAGTTTAGAATGAGTCATTTTTTCCAAATTCGTCACTGGAGGTGGTGATTTTATTCTGTCTGTATTGAGTGTCGTTTTGCATTGCGATTCTGATGTACATTTTGGAGGAAATTATTAAAAGGGTGGACTTAATTGAAAACAAATTTCAGATGAGGTAGGTGAATCTAATGTGATATTTCCCTAATCGATTCATTTACATAGAAACGACTGACTCAGTTCACTTGGATCGCTTCTACGTTTTGTGAATTAGTCGGGAAGAACGCGAACTCAATTGTTGCACGTACAATGGTTTTACTTATGTCGTTGGAGTAAACAGCTCTGTTGCATACTTGAGTGTTTTAAAGTGGTATCACCGGGTTCACGTAGGTAACATTTCTGTGAGTGCGCTAGTTATTCAAATAGATGTGGGCATTCCGCTTCTCTACGCTATTTAGTATTTTTAAATGCGTTATTCTATCAACTCGTATTCGTTCCCTGGGTTTATGGTTAAGCATTATTTTGTACTTCTTTGAACAGTAGTAGTCACAGTGTTGCATCCCATTGTGTTTTGACACCGTGTGTTTTCACGCTATGCGTGTCAAGATTGTTTAAAATGCACCTATTCACTGACTCACTCACTTTTAGACATTTGAATTTCTCTTCGGAATTCAGTCCTAAGCTCAACGTCTCGAAAGTCGAAACATTGTTGATCAGTTTACGGAGTCACAAGACACAAGTCATATCATTATGGGTAAATTTTGTTTGATAAAGTCTCACAGCGTTATACAGTAATGTTTACTGATGACGTTTCGAGCACAATTTATTGCTCATAATCATATCAAGGTAATCACACGACTTCCTAAATTCATTTATATAGTTCCATTGTTTTTCTCTTGATTTTCACTTGATTTGATTGGTAATAGTATTTTCCATATTTCAGGTATGAGTGACGAGTCATTCCTATTGCATGTGTTGGGTGTAGACTCGATGAACAAGGATTCAGTAATCAACCTCTCTCTCCACCTACCTAGATTACTTTTTAGAATTTTACCCCTCTCCCACCCTATTGTGTGGTTGTGTTTTAGCGCATGCATTGCAATTGCTGAGCTTTTTTCTAAATTACTTATCTTCTCGGGGTCAACCATTCTTACCTTAGCTAAATTTTTATGCTCTGACAATCTGACTACCCCTGACTTACTAGTTTGACCTATGTAGTTGACCTCACAGTCATTGCATGGTATTTTGTAAATAATATTATTTTGTCTAATTGGGTCAACTGGGTCCTTTAACCTACAGAGCTTGTCCCTGAGTGAGTTTGTAGGTTTAAATGCCACCCTAATTCCTATTTTATTCAGAATCCTACGTAGTGTCTCAGATGTCCCCTCTTTATATGGTATAACTGTGGATGACTTATATTCTTTCTTATTTTTGTTGTTATTACTAGTTTCACAATTATTTTTATTTTGTTTTTGGCCTTTAATGATCTTCCTAATGAATTTTATAGGATAGTTATTCAACACCAACGCTTCTTCTATCTGTTTTAATTCATCATTTAGATCTTTTTTTGTGCTACTTAGTGCCACTGCTCGGTTTGTTAAACATTTAACTAAGCCTGCCTTAACAGTTAAAGGATGAGACGAATTAAAGTCTAAA